GTAGGTAGGTCGGACTGTGCTTCGATCGATCGTACAACGTTCTTGGACAGGCTGATTGCTTTCAACTGGATACATGCGCATTAGCTATTGTTACACCATGCAATTTGTGATGGGGCTTACTTTGAAATACGTCTTGAACTGAAGGTTGGCTATGCAATATACACCCCACTTTCGCGATTGTGACATGTCGGGGTTCCTGTCACCCAGACAAAGGGCAAAGATCCTGTTGAATACTCGCGCAGCTTCTTCAAGCTTCTGATTTTGAGGTGCTGTGCTCACGATATCGTCTGAGTAGCCGGTGTTGAGAGCTGCTGGTTTCGACTTGGCCAATTGCTCGTCTGCTTTGATTGCTATCTTCCTAAGATGATTTGCAGTGAAGTACAGGGTGAATATGGCCCATGCTGGTAGCAGTCCACCAGATATGTGCTTGATGAAGATGCTCGTCAGGTCCTTCCACGTATCGTATACTGCCAGGTATTGACGCTCATTCAGCTTGCCCTGATTTGCTGCTTCGTCGGTCTTGATGATCTCTTTGACAGCGCGCCAATAAGTAGCAATGATATCAACCCAGGGAGAAGCCTTGGCCTTTTTGGGGTTCATTCGCTGTTCGAGCGCATAAATAACATCGCCTTCAATCTTCTCGTCACTGGATGCGCGGTAGAAGTCGTATAGCCGGCCAGGGTCATGCGCGGGTGCGACTGGACTGAAGAAGTCTGCGACGGGTTGCGCAAGGCCACTGGCCAGTGCCTGATGGAAAGGCACGAGTGCAGCTTGCATGGCGGCCATGAGGGATTCGGTCGGGTTACGGGATGTCGGTTGTCGCGTGAATCTGAAGGTTTGCGCGACTTCAGTTGGTACTCTCAGCCCTTTGACATGGTGCGGATTGTTTGCTGAGAACCAACTGGTGGGTGTTCTAGTGGTCCTCGAGGTGGTCGGGTGTTTGGGCTGTTTGTTCGCCGACGTCCATAGCGCCTGCCGCCAAGTTGTTGTGGGCCCCTGCTCAACTCGGCTAGCGCGCACAAGGTGGTGTCGAATTCGCTTGTCAATCCACGATGGAGACGACCTGACTGAACTTCTCAACTCAAGGTACTAACCTCACAGCACAATCAAGGTCAGTCTACGTCGCCAGCTCGTGCCCATACCGCCCGCTAACCAGTCGCAGATGGGTAAGCAATTTTCTTCGTCCGCAACACCGTCCCGTCCAGCAATTGCAGCCGATGGAATTTTCGAACGAGGCCAGCGCGACCATGACCGTCTCTCACCATCGCGATAAAACGACACCGAGCTGGGGTTGAGTGGGAAGGAGCTTTGGTGGTGTGCATGCACAGCGGACAGGCCAACGGCGCCGAAAACTTATGACAACGGCAGCGAAGCCCGTGAGATCGTCCGCATGCGACAAATTCGAATACGACCGTACTCGATTGCCCTAACCCGACCGCCTTCCCCAACCACGACTGCTGCAATTGCTGGACTAGGACAAAATATTGTTATTGAAGCAGTACTGACGATGCTTCAGCACGCTTCCAGGAATACCAGATCATCGGGCGCCATCTGCCCAGCGAGACCAACCCCTCGCCCAAGATCTACCGCATGCGCATCTTTGCGACCAACGAGGTTGTCGCCAAGTCGCGGTTCTGGTACTTCCTTGGCAAGCTCCGCAAGATCAAGAAGGCCAACGGTGAGATCGTCTCCGTAAACCAGGTATGTCGAGGCAGCAGAAGACGGCGCTACAACAAACTGACCCGGTTCAGATCCACGAGAAGAAGCCCCAGAAGGTCAAGAACTTCGGTATCTGGCTCAAGTACGACTCGCGCTCCGGTACCCACAACATGTACAAGGAGTACCGCGAGATGTCCCGTGTCGCCGCCGTCGATGCTCTGTACCAGGATATGGCCGCCCGTCACCGATCGCGCTTCAGGTCCGTTCAGGTATGATCAAATCGACTCAGCCGTCTGCGTCAAATCACTCACACTCAATCTAGATTCTCAAGGTTGTTGAGGTCGAGAAGGCCGACGACCTCCGCCGCCCATACATCAAGCAGCTCCTCACCAAGAACCTCAAGTTCCCGCTGCCCCACCGCATCAACAAGAAGGTTGGAAAGAAGGTCTTCTCCTCTACCCGACCATCCACTTTCTTCTAAGCGTGTTTCTCATTACGGAGTGCGGTCTGGATGGGAAGGGATGTTATGGGTTTCCCTCGGTTATGCATGCTTCACGAAAAGAAGTACATTAGGAACGAATGAAAATCCCTGATACCTCCATTCGGCCGTCGGTGCGCGTGATGCAGTTTGGGGTGCTAGCTAGCCACGCGCGTGAAGGCGATACTTGCAGGGACGTCGAACAAAGGCGATACCGAGGGATGAGTTGGACGATAGACAATGAAGTCATGCCAATACACTTGAGCAGTACATGTTGCATTTCGACCCATTTTCTAACATGCGATTAGATCTTCGCCCTCCCTGTTGGCGCCACCTTTGGCCTTCCCAGTGTGTCTATTGGCATCCACCATGGGTACCCAGTCACATTTGTCTTGTCCATGGTCCCCGTGAAATTCGCCGGCCTCTTCTCCATGAAGGACTTTACGCCCTCGGTATTATCCCTGTTGCTAGTCAGTTTATGGATACCAGTTGGTAGCAAGGAGACTTACGGCGATCCAAACAACTCGTAGATGACCCTGCTATCCAACAAATGCTGACCCTCAGGACTCCCCGCATCTCTGTACATAAGCTCCTTCATCAGATACGTACTCACGCCACTCGTATTCTTCACCACGTCCTCTGCAACCTCGAGCGCTCTCGGCAATACATCTTCCGCCTTGTCGCACACCTCCGCAAATAAGCCATCCCAGACCTTGTGGCTAGCAAGATAGGTGCTGCCTGTCGTCACGGCCTGCATAGCGCGACTATGGCCGATCAACCGGGGCAGGAAGAAGGAAGAACACGCTTCCATGATGAGTCCACGACGCGAGAAAACAAAGCCAATCTTCGCCGATGCATACGCTATGCGGATGTTCATGGGCAGCGTCATGGTGATGCCGATTCCCACTGCAGAACCTTGCAGCGCGGCGATGGAAGGCTTGCGGCAATGATGGATGGCTAGGGCTACGCGCCCGCCTCTGAATGTTCCTTCTGTTAGCACACTGTTCTTTGCCAATTTGACCAACCCAGTCTTGCTCTCTTCGACCGCGTGATAGCGGCTTGGAAAACACGTTATCCACCCATAGCATAAGGAAAGTTAAACATACCCATCCCGATGATCCTGCACCCTCTCCGCATCCGCCCCATTAACCCCCTCCCCAAACCCCTCATCTAGATCCGCGCCCGCGCAGAAAATCCGCCCATCTCCGGTCACCACGATGCATTTCACCCGCTCGTCGGCATCGAACATGCCGTATGCTTCTTCGATCTCCGCGCGCATCGTGTCGGTGAAGGCATTGTGGTTTCCGGGTCTGTATAGTGTGAGGATGATGACGGATGGTTCTTTTTCGTGGTGTTGAGTGCGGATTTGGGTGAATTTGAGGTCGTTGTAGGAGGTGGGGAGGTGGATGTCGGGTTTGTGGCGGGGGGTTTCTTTGGCGGGCATTTTGGCTGGAGTTTTGGGTTGATTTGAATGGGTGGGTGGATGACAGAAACGATTGACGTCTTGGGGAATTAAATGCTGGTTACATGCGCGTGGTACGTACGTACCCCATGTTGTCCGGGAGCGTGGTTGTCGCGTTGATGATGCGGGGAGACGCGGAACCGAGGTACGCGTTGGCGGTGTTCGACGTCGAAGCTTGGGTTCGGGTAAGCTCACCTCAGCCATTACAGCCTCTTTACACGGAAGATGCTTGTGAACACTATCTTTGTTTGCGGGGTGATGAAGTTATCCAAGCATACGATATAACACCTCTTGCGTGTTATGGAATTAATGTACATTTGTCAAAAACGCTCACGGTTGCTTAATCATGTTGTCAGCAGAACGCTGCTTCTTCAGTGTGAGAGGATGCAATGTCCAAATATCGTCTTTAATGGCCAAAGCCAAGTCGCTTTCTACTATTACATAGTGGTATCATTTCTCCGTACGAGACATCTAAGCGGTGACCTCTCCGTCAGCAAAAGCTCTGCCAATTTCCCTTGCAACTCCCAATCTGAGCACCGCAATAATATCTTCACTCTTTGCACCCTTCGGGAAGCCTTTCCGCCAATCCCACCCGCGCTTACTATCGTCTACGTGTCCACCCTTGACAAAGACCGTCGAGCCCTCTGCACTCTGACCATCTGCGGAGCCGAAATCAATCGAGCCTATAAGCGAATATTGGCTTGACGCTGTCGTCAAATTCGATGTCGATTTCGATAATTGTTGAGAGGCGTTGGGGTCGTGTGCGGAGAGGAGGGTAGTCGCAAGTACTTCCTCACATTGCGTTCGGATCATGCTAGGTGCGGTATCAAGGTCCTCGATGGCCGCGAGGAGGTCGTACAAGTGGCGGAGCGTCAACGTGCGCTTGGGTTGGTTGACAAAGATGAGTGCCTCGCCTAGCAACGGTAGGAGAACGTCGACTTGAACCACAGTTTCTATCTCTGGATCGTACAGTCCTCCACGAATGCTGGATGCCGCACTGGCGATGATGACCATGAGCGCGTTCGCTGCAGCCCGTTTCCGTGCCATGGGTCGATGTGCTGGCTTCTCTCCGGGCTTCAGCAACACCTCTTCATCTCGTAGGTCGTAGTATTTGCGTATTGTTGCGTAACCGCTCAGGTGGTTTGAAAGGAGGGAAGCTGCCTCGGAGTCTAAACTTGCGAGTTTTGTCAGGGTCTGCTTTGGTGAAGTAATGAGCGAGTTGAGCGACTCGTCCAGTTCATCTAGAGGCGGATAGGCGGTCGACTTGATAAGGCAGTGGGCGACCAAGACCCGTAGCACCTCCTGGATCTTTTGTGCGTCGTGGGCACGGGCGTAGTAGAGCAGTGTATCGCCATAGCTCTCGGTGTTGGTGCGGAGATGGTCGGCGTATTTCTGCAACTGTCAGCTTGTATCCGGGAGTGTTCCTGCTCTATAACATACCTGAGCGATGATGACGGCATGCTGTGAGAGGCCCAAGTTATGGCAAAGCTGGGTGATCTTGTCGACACGAGCTGAGGACTCGAGTTGCAAGTCGTTTAGTATCCGCTCGATGCGCTCGTTTGCTGTGATGCCGTCGTCCAGTCTACCGAGAATCTGCACCGCGATCTCCCATCCTTCTTTGGATGTCTGACCGTCTCTAGCCTTGAGTTCGCCCCTGGAAGGCAACAAATTGGCGTAGGCAATAAGTATGTCGTCTTTTCTCACACCCTTCGGCTGTTGCTGTTCAGTGTAACTCAGGACCATTAGATCACTCTGGTCGAACTGATCCATCAGGCCCCTTGCGCTTGTGAACCACTCTCCTGCACTGGCAAGCTCCGCGACTGCAGAGGCCATGGTGAGGGACCATCCCTGCAAGATTTGGAGAGCGCCCTCGATGTTGTCATCAAGTATACATGCTATGCCTACCTCGAAAGGGTCGACAGCATTGACACTGAAGTCTTCGTCGCTGTTCTGGATGACAGCCGCCAACGCGGAAGACAGCCGTTGGCAGTACGCTTTGACCGGAGTCACGTCGACAGGGCGCACTCGTTGAGACCGCATGATGGAGCGACGGCTTGCGGCCAGACTACCCTGTGCGGAATCTTCCTCTTCTCCATTCCACCAGACGCTCAGACCCACTACTGCTTCGATCCAGTCGGCCGATAATTCGAGGATCGCTTCTTCATCGCCCAGCAAGAGCTTGTAGACCGTGCTGAGGGCCTCGTACACTGACCAGGGCACTTTACTTTCGGCTTTGCGACTGGCCACACTAAGCTGGAAGCTTGCCTGAGTTTGCGATATGCCAAAATGTGCCGCCTTGAAAGGCTGGGAGATAGAGTGTCGGCTCACACTTTCGCCCTCGGCAAACTCCTCCAAGCTAGCACTCACTTGGTGAACGCGCTGCCTAAAGATGCTCCAATCGTGTCCCTTGATGTCCCAATCCTCCGATGCGATGGCTGGACATTCCCGGAGGAGATCGATTGCTTCCCGAAGCGCGTGGTTTGCGTATGAGAGGTGTGACCCGACGTAACCTGAAGTGCCCAATCCGTCGTGTTGAGCTGTCTCGGCGTGCTCAAGCTGAGCGCCCTGAAGTAGTCTCATAGTCTGCGAGAAGTTGCCCCTGACAGTAGACACATGGACAGCTTCCCAGAACGAGGAATGTCTTGAATATCCGCGGGTCTCCTTCAACACCAATTCAGCCTCGACCTGAGGGAATGTGCTGTTCAGCCAGTCGAGCAGCACTCGCGGGATGGGTGTGTATTGTTTCGAATCGGTTCGCGCTACGAGGGAGAGGGCGGAGGCTCGCTGGTTTAGGCCAATCTGTGGGGGATTGTGAAGGGTCAGCAGAAGAGCAGCAAGCTGGCGGGCTTGCGACAGCTCCTGTGAAGTCGACTTGTGTGCATCTGGCCAAGTTGCGATCAACTCCTGAGCGACTGTGCCAAGCACCTCAGTCCGCTTGTCTGGCGAGTCTGATTGAAGAGACTCGTGAACTCTCTCGACCAGACGCTCCGTCTCCAATATGATTTGGTCGGACTCGCGCAGAGCCTGTCGGTCGCTGTTGGAAGTCAGGCCCTTGGCGAGCGCAAGGAGATCGAATCGCGTTTGTTTTGCGCCTGACCGCACCAAGGCTGGACTTGGCTCCATGTCGGTTGCGCTTGTTCTTGAGACAATTGACTGGGAGAACCTGTTCTGTGTCTTGTTGCGGCGCTGCGGTGAGAGCGGCTCGTCCTCCTCGGTGCCCTCATCTTCGTCCATGTCGTCATCTTCTTCCTGATCTTCGTCCGTGTACTCTTCTTCTGATTCGCCCTCCGCGTCCTGGTGTAGGGTGTGTGTGGGCGCTTGGAACTGGCCAGAAGTTGCGATGCGTCCGCGTTGTGTTGGGGGCCGTCCGGAAGTCGAAGTGCCTATTGAGCCGAGCCCATTGCCTTCAAACATGCTTCCTTTGGGCGGTGAGCTGCCAAACAGCGAGTTGCTGGCGTAGTCATAGCTGTTCGGGTTGAAGGTTGGGCGTGCATTGCCGAAGAGTCCTTGGTTCATGCCTGGCGGCGGGCCAGCTGGTGTTGAGGAGGGATAGTGCGATTCGTCTAGGGGCGGAGGGCCAGCGGGTGTGGTCGAGGGTGCGTGTAGGCTGTCGTCGTAGTAGCTGCGGCCGGGTGTTGACGGTGGTCCACGAAACATTGCTCTCTAGTCGCAAGTTTACCTGGGTACGCGGTGGAACAGGCGAACAGGGATCCAAATCCAAGGTATTTTCTCCACTTAATTTCCCAGTTCACACGTTGCGCCGCACATGCGCCGTAATGAATTATTTCGCGTGGTGAAGGGATTTGATTGTTCTCGGACTAGCTACTGTCGCGGTCGCAAAACATAAACTCTGGATGAGCTCCAGCGACGCGCTCGGCTTGGCGCGTCCGCGGGCCGGCGTCCGGCGAAACCTTCCCCCGGCTTCACAAAGTGCGCGCGCCGTGCAAGAGCGGCACCTGCGTCCATGGATGTCTTGCTCGCAGCTTGCTTTTAGATTGCAGACCCGCCCGGCTATCTAGACTCGACGACACGTGCGCATGATTCACGACGCATGCCTAGTTCATCCCGCTTGTCTTGACTTTTGGTTTTTTCTGCTCGTTCCTGGTGGCGGCGCCATGAAAGCGTGCCTTCGCAACGAATCAGGCGGCGTGCATACCCCGAGATGGTGTGGCTGCCACCCGTGTTCAACCCCGCTACGGGCTGTTTCTGGTAAATCAATATCCCATCACCCTCACTAAGTCTTTTGTCGAGTCGTGGAGCGCAGGGGTCAAATCACTTGGTAATGCCTAGGGTTCCTTATTAAGGTACCCGATGCTAGACTGCGCCGTCGCCAGCCTCCGCCAGCATTAGCCTACAGCTGACGTACCGTGCGACTCAAAAACGGTTGGAGCCCGCTGGTCGACCACACCCGCTGCTTCCGTCGCCTGACCCTACTCTTTGCCTTTTCCTCGTGCGCGTTGTCCTACTTGAATGCTTCTCATCTCTAATGTGTAATGCTGCTTGCTGCGCACTCATACCCCTCGGCCCACCTCTGACGTAGTGCTGCCCATCCATAGCCCGCCATCATGGCGCTCTGGTCCACCGCGAAGACGCAGTCAAAGCAAGGTTTCGACAAGGTCTACACGTGGGTTGACAAGCTCGGTGTCCCCGTCAATCGACTGTCCAACAAGGTCGGCTCTGAAGCCTTCTGGCCTACAACGCTAGACATCGAGTCGGACAAGGCTGCGAGGATCCTCAAAAGCTTCTGCAGTACGTCAACTTCCGATGCGTCCCGCCAAGTACTAACACGTCCGCAGAGGATGGTTTCTACCAGGAAGAAGACCGACCCATCACCACCGACGTCCCCAAGGGAAAACAACGAGTCCTCAAGAAGATACCCTCCAAGGTCATCCAGAACGCCAAAGGCCTATGCATATTCACGACCATGCGGTCCGGCCTTTGGGTCTCCGGATCTGGCGGAGCCGGCATATTGGTCGCACGCAAGGCCGATGGAACATGGTCACCCCCGTCAGGCATCATGATGCACACCGTGGGTGTAGGCTTTCTCGTAGGCGTAGACATCTACGACTGCGTGATTGTCATCAACTCCGACAAGGCCATGGAGGCATTCCAGTCCATCCGCTGCACATTGGGAGGTGAAATCAGTGCAGTCGCAGGCCCAGCCGGCGTTGGCGGCATACTGGATTCGGAGATCCACAAGCGACAGTCACCACTTTTCACGTATATCAAATCGCGAGGATTCTATGCTGGCCTCCAATTAGACGGAACTATCATCATCGAGCGAACAGACGAGAACGAACGGTTTTACGGCGAACGTATAGGAGTCAAAGACATTTTGGCAGGCAAAGTGAGGCACCCGCCTTACGAGATAAGGAGACTCATGGAAACTCTCAAATCGGCTCAAGGCGATACAGACGTGGACGAGACTTTGATACCAGACGAGGCGCCACCTGCCGACTTTGAGATTACAGGTCCGGAAGACAAGACATTTGGTATTCCAGATGCTGTTGACCCCGACCCGTATGGCGTACTGGCATTACAAGAAGCTGGTCTAGAGATCAGGGAAGCTGGCACACACAGCCGTCCGGCAAGTGAACAATTCGAGTTCAAGCCGAGCCCCACAAGCCCCATCTACAACACTTTCAGAAACTCTACATTCCGGAGAAGCATGGACCGCTCGAGCTATGCTGGCAGTCGGCCAACGAGTTGGCGCACAAGCACCATCAGCGGCGTATTGGAACCCCGGACGCCAACAGTTGACATGAGCACCCAGACCGACGATCTACCGCCACCACCTCCGACCATCAGAAAGTCACCCCCCACGCTACCGCCAAGAACAAGCGTCGCACGCACACCTACTCCTCCCATAGTGGAAGTACCCGAGACCAGGGTCGAGCAAGCTACTCCGCCACGAGCTAGGAGTGTAGACAGACAGGCCGAAGAAGCAACACCTACCGCTGCAGGAACAAAGACAGACAAAGCTGCCGGCCCAAAGTCCGACGGCTCTCCTCGGAACTCCATAGCCACTGAAGAGGCTCATGATTCCGAGTCAAGTTCCGATTCGGAATCAGACGAAGAGGAGGAAGATGAGTTTGAGGAAGAGCCAATCGTCCACGAGGTCCACCAGGCCGCTGCCCCACAAGCCATTCGCGCACGCGTCGTCCAAGTTGCCAAGCCAATGCCTCCTGCTCTACCGGTCAGAAATCCATTCCGCAACCGCGTCTCAACGAACTCAGACGGCTCCCTGAACTCTCCAACCGTACCGAAGCATAGCCCGGAATCAACCCCCTCGCTTATGCGCGGTGATTCAACTTCTTCTCTGTCCTCCGTAGAAGACAACAGACTCGAGCAGATTGGCAACAGGCTCAAGCCCAAGTATTCTCACGAGCCATCACCTGATGACGAGAAGAAGGAGGACAAGGACGACGCCTTCCACTCGCTTCCAGAGTCCCCGATGAAGAGCATTCCAGGAGGTTTCAACTCAGCGACCGACGTCTAACATCCAATCGACTTCAGCCTCTCTCTACACCGCCCTTTCGCTGCACATATAGAGCTGGGATGACCATCTCATCCTGGACTACACCCTCACAGATTACGCTTACAAACTGGCGTTGCGACCCCAAGCGCATGATTACTGCGTCTTGCCACTTGCTTATTCGGCTTGGCCAAAACGCAACCATGCCCGGTCGATCACCACATCCTGATAGGAGACAGCCTTTCACCGTCGTTACGAATTATGATTCCCATTGATATCCACTTTATTGCTTTACTTGCCCTGCTCACGCATGGCTCGCCATAGCATCTGCATGTATCTAGTGCCATTTTAAAACTGCAATTCGTTTGCTTGTATACCGATAGTCACCATATAAGAATATTATGTCTAATTCGAATCAGCACATGTCTGGCCTTGTTCAAGGGTGATATATAACAAATTCATGGCTCATCTGGAAGGCAGTGAGAGCGTGGGCGACTGGCTGCGCTAACGCGGCCGTGACACCCCTGCCAAAATTTCGTGAACGGAATTCCACCATGAGCTCGACTTGCGCAGACACGCAAACCTCCCCACCAGCATTTGCACCCTGACGTACTGAGTCAGCGCGCTTCTTACATATTGCGCCCGAAGCCGATCTGCAAAAAGTCTCACACCGAGTCCTCTCGAAGGCCGACCGACACACCTTCCAACCACACAGCGCCGCCCGTCGCAACCCACACCCGCAATGGCACCCGAAGCGCCGCCAAAGACGAAGAAGTCTAAAGCAACGCCGAAAACAGTCGCCGACTTCACCGTTCTTCCCCTCACATTGCCCACGCTGTCTGGTCTGCCAGCGCACTGCAACGATGCAAAGCATTATATCTACGTCAAACCACATGCGCCCAGCATACCCACCGCCGATGACGAGCGCAGCCTCTTTGTCGCAAACATGCCCATCGATGCCTCCGAGCGCAACATCCGCGCGCTCTTCCAAGAACAATTAGGCGGCTCCATGGTCGAGCGCGTCGAGTTCGATGCCTCGGTCCCCGCGCAACCAATGCACAAGCGCTGGAAGAGCGATAAGCCTACGACGCAAGACGACTCAGCTACCTCCAGAGGCAAGAAGAGGAAGAGGACCGACGACGCGGCAGTAATAGCAGAGGGTGTGGTGGAAGACGCCGAGAGCGCGTTACCACGGTTATGGAACAGCGAAGTGCGAAAGAGCGGGAGCGGCGCCGTCATTGTCTTCGTAGACAAAAAGAGTGCGAGGGGAGCTCTAAAGGAGATCCAAAAGGCCGTAAAAGAGGGCAGAAGCATATCCTGGAAGGGAGGAGAAGGACTAGGCGTTGAGCGTAAGTCTACACAATCCCCTCTACACTCATCCCACGTCTAACCCAAAAAACAACAGGCTACAAATCCCACAACTCCCTCATCTACCCAACCTCCACCCTCCTCCAAGCCTCACTAAACGCCTACCTCACCCAATTCAACGCCCTCGAAACAGCGCGGAACCGCATTCGCAAGACATCCCGATCTGTTCCTGACGAGGAGGGCTTCATGACGGTTACAAGAGGCGGTCGCGTTGGGCCGGCTAGGCTGGAAGAGGCGGAGAAGAAGAAGGCTGAGCTGGATGAGCGCAAGAGGAATCACAGGGCTACGGATGACTTTTATAGGTTCCAGAATCGGGAGAGGAGGAAGGAGGCTGAGGGGTTGCTGAAGAGGAAGTTTGAGGAGGACAGGCGGAGGGTGGAGGGTATGAGGGAGAGGAGGGGGAGGGTTAGGCCGGAGACATGAGGACGGGATATGTGGTGGGCGTGTGATGAGGACTTTCTTTCAGGGAAATTGCTATATATGAGTCTTTGGAGTGCAGCTGCACGCAGCTTGTGCCACCACATGAAGTTCTTACTGAACTGTTCTCTTCAAATCACGACTCACTCGGCATGGCACACTTGTGAAGTAGATGAAAGCGATAAGTTCGTTCAAGATCATAAATTAGCACTCGTAAAACTCAAAATAACAAAGAAAATAGGAAACCAATCTCGATTCTTTCCTTGAAGAAAGAGAGACGAGTGTGCGTAGACCAACGACCTAAGTCATCCCATTCCCGTTCCCATATGCATTCCCATTCGCAATTCCACCACTCATTTCTTCATCCTCCCCTCCACCTGGGTTCTGTCCAGGTAGT